TATTTATACAGTGAAGTGACCGACTGTTTTTAGAGAAATTCATCGCTTCAATAATCTATACGAAATAGTAAAATCTGTGGAGCACTCGGTATTTCCAGATAAAATGGGTGTCAAACAAAGTAGGTATGAAAAACTTGATCGGGGTGGGCGGTGGATTTACCTCGATGTGATGCACCCTAGGCAACGTATACTCATACGGCAAAAAAGTCTATTAACCGGCAGTTGACTTCAAATTACCATGACCCTACTGTATGTCATATTCGATCACTTTCACAGTACTCACCTCACCTTTTTTCTACCTTTGTGCCCGTCTCCTTTACATTTGTAAATCACTTTTCTCTTCCCCCCACCCTCCACTTTTGGTAACTTTGATGTTTTTCCCCTCTGTGAAGCCCGAAGTCAACAAAAGGTTTAATGATAACTATCTTGAACCAGTCAAAAAGGAGAAAGTTTCGAATTTTTAAACCTGTGTGTGTAATTCATTTGTCAATCGCACGTCAATTAATTAAAAAAAGCAAATCCAACCCGCGCATCAAAATCTGGATTTTCATCATCCAGTGCCAAAACTTCTCCCTTTCCCTCCACTTCACACTCTCACCTTCTCTCATCTCTCATTCATTTCCAATTGTCCAACCCAACTTTTGACATTCTTAACTCTAAAAGGATTGCATTACCAGTTGGTACCAGAAGGATCATGAATTCTCTGAAAGGTTATTAAACCCAACTTGATTAGACCCCTAGACAAGCCTTAACGCTGCAATTACAGCTAATTTAAAGCTCTCAATAGTGAACTCTCAATGGGAGAGATCACACCCATCAGAAAGCCCTTATTGAGAGGGAGAAAAAGCACAAATTGAATATTTTTTATGAGAAATTAATGGAGAGAATTGCCAATAACAGTGAAAATAGATGTTTAAGTTAGAGTTAAGTTTATTGTGCTCTTTTTTTTAGGTAAACGACCTCAGTTATTTTACCTTGGCTAGGCAAGACTCGCAAATGTCCTGTTTAGAGGATAGTTCAAAATAACAAAATCCACTTGTTTATCAGCAAAGGCTTGCTAGGAAATATTCTATTGCCGCTGAAATCATTGGAATTTAACAGGAGCACTTACCTTGTTCCCCATATAACTTACCTATTAGGGCTTGGTAACCATCTGTTCGCAAAATAAGGCCTAATTAATTAGATTTCTCTTTTATTTCAACATTAGTAGTTACTGTTGTTATTGCTCATTTAAACTCACACCTCCAGGCGATAACCAAGAGTATATGCTAGGTTGATCTAGACCCTCATGGAGGCGTGTTTTTACTGGAAATATGATAATTAACTTTGCGATGGCTCTGTCTTGAGGCGCATGCTTTGAGAGACAGAGAGGGAGAGAGTCTAGAACTATGGTATGATCTTGTTTCATCAACTGGCTCGCCAACAACCCTTGATTCACTTACCGGTTGGATAATATTTGCATGCATGAAGTGCAAAATTGGTGCTGCTTGCATTCGCAATTGCATCCATCCTCCTATCGTCGAAAGTGTTAGCCAAATCACAATTTGAAATTTCTATGACCACCATAGCAGCCTAGCTAATTACTTACTTAAATATGAAGGTCTCCTAGTCTGCAGGAATTCAAGATACCAACTGTCGTTACTAATGGAAATGAAAGCATTGTTAGAGTTTCTACCTATTGCACCCTTCTATACCACCTAATTATAATACAATAACTTTAAAATAACCTTCACTCCAATCTGGACGAGTCATTTGAACCAAGGCAGACACTGCATGGGCATCTTTTACAGGAATTCGTGTCCGAAAGTGATTTTTCACCCAATAAAATTAACTTAGCAGAGGAATATTATCAATAAATCGTCAAACACATCACTCAGACAAAATAAGAAACATAAGAAGCAATATCACCGTGTAATACTAACGTACCTAGTAAGAACTAAAACGTCAACTTATCAGGATTTAGGCTATCGATTTTTAATCGTTCTCTCTTTCTCTCCTGTATAACACTTTTAGTTGGTAGTTAATAATGCTCTCTTAAGACACTTAATTAAGGTAAGTTGTCACGATTAATTGCTATTGCAGTCTGCTGTCCACAACAAAGAAGCGGACCTGGCATAACCTGAGGGGCTACGACCACCTACCTAGATCCTTGTCATGGACTTTGATACTATCTAGAACGCACTCCCAGTCGTACAGGACAAGTACATGATTTCGATTCATTACTAGTCATGTCCGAGACGTTTACTCAAGTGCTTTTACCGTATAATAAGCAAGCACGGTAATATAAAATGGCATGACACAATGTGCTTTTCAGAAGTACGTCATAACGTTTAAGTTGACATGAGGACATGACATGGACTGAATTGATTAAATAAGTGCTCAACTTCTGCGCTTTCCTCATGTCCGCTCACGCACATGTGCGCGCATGAGCAAACCTAAAACAAGAGTAGTAGGAGCGAATGACTGACCCTGGTCTGGTTGTACTTTTCCTTTGCTTCCCGCTCTCCCGCCTCTAACTCATCGACGTCCTTTTCATACTTCTCCTTCAGTCGCCTGAAATGTCAAGGCAAGATAAACACAAAGGTGAGAAAGTGGCGGATCAGGAGTTATGTCCTTAAGGTCAAAATGGCAAATTTCCTGATCATGGAGATTTCATTGAAAGGGAGGGGGAGGGAATTAGAGTTCGAATAATTAACAAGTGATAATCACCATATGAATATAGAGGACACGAAAAATGTAACATAACTCAATTAAGATCATGAAGTTTCTTATGGAGCCATATCAAGGTAGGCTGGATATCGCCCTTGTGGAACCAATGAACTTCCTAAGGCCTAAAGGAAACAGCTGCATTGAATGAATGGAAAGTCCGATGTCTACGGTGGAATACAGGAGCTAAGTGTGAAGAGGAAGGAAATTGAAATGAAAGAGGGAGGCCTCAACACTGAACTTGGGCAGTCCGATTTGAGAGGAACAAGTTGAACCAGGTAAGGTCGGGCAATTGATCGATTTTGCTTCCTTTGACCATCGACCAACGCAGAAATTGAGGCGGTTTATGAGACAGTATGAGCAAGAACTACCAATTTCTCAAATTTCTCGAGGAGTAAAAGTATGAGATCACGAGCAAACAGTATGGGAATTCTAATGTGACAGAAACACTGAAAAAACAGCAAATTTTATCGGTCCATTTGTTGAATAGAAGTTAATGAATGTTCGTATTAAAGAATATGATTAGAAAGGGAAGATGAATAGTCTTCAATGATACATTTACAGTAGAGAGGGCGAAGGAAGATTGTAAGATATAGAAATTTCGTTCCTAAAAAAATAATTTCTCAAAAATTTGGGTTTTGATTGCTGCTTCGGTAAATTGAAGGGGCAAACTTAGATTGAAGATCAGTTTTCAAGCCACCATTAGGAAGTCGATCGGTTTTGGTATCGGTTGTAATATATGGGAGATCGCATTAACTGAAATTTACAATTTTGCACATATTACAACTCGGTTTCAATTCATTTGAAATTTGATGAGGTAATACACCGCAAATTGCGTTAATTTGACCATTTGGTACCCATGACATTTCCAGCGTTCATATTTGCAAGTGGCTTGTCTGATATTAACCGATTTTGACAAAAAATCGATATTAATAGAGCTCAATCGGATAAATTCGACCGTTGTCAAAGCATATCACCTCGGCGGCATCTATCTTCTGTGAGAAACACGTGAGTGCAGTTGGGTACACTTTTCAAAAAATAATTGGGGTGTTAAAGCATCGAGTAAAATGTAAGTAAATACTTGTGGAAGATTCAAATTTAACTAAAACTTAATTTGATATTTGGTCTGCTTAGGTTCCGTTTATATAAAGGCTGGTTACTATGTATTTTGAGAATCAATTCTCAGTCTCTCAATCTGCCCTTAAATAACGATAAAAGGCGAAAAAGCGAAATGAAATGGGAATCCAACTTGATCGTAAGGGGTATGTCTGAGGATTATAAATTCAGGCCTTTTCTCTAAAGGGCTTCGAAATGAAATACCAGAGAGACGCTCGAAGGCCCTTCGGGAATCTCAAATGCCTTCCGATTTGAGGTAATGACGGCCATTTGTTAATTGAAGGTGATGACTTGATACAATGAGAAGCCTACATGATCTCTGGTCATGTAGTACTTCTAAATCGGAGCATATAGGTAATAGAACGGTAAGCGAAGATGGTGCTCAAGCTCATGGAGTGCACAAAGCTACCATGGCTGAACAAAGAAATCTCATGGGCACCCAGACAGACTCAAAGAGGGAGCATGTGCAGTCGTGAGCGCAGGGGCCCTCTCAGCCAGCCTCCATTGTTTAATAAATTCTTAATTGTACTCTCATGACTAAGATCTTTGGCAGACATAGCCCAAATAAACGTTCTTATGTTGTCCCTCTCTTTCCCCTACATTGTTGAGATAGATTAGCTAACGCCGGGAGCCATTCTATACTAGAGGAAATTGGTATTGAGATTATAAGGGATAAATCAAGACTGATTAGCGTAGCTCTCCACCACAAGCTATTGACAATGTTACTTACCTCTGTGGTCATTGGTCCTTGCACTTAAAAATGCCAACGAAAATCATATATATTTCTAAGGTTTTATAATCGCATCTCTGGTCCATTTCATCGCCTATAGTTTTATTTCGCAACTTCTTGAGTCAGGATGGACTACTAGGACAAAGTTGATCACTAGGAATAGGGATCCAATTTAGGTGCTCTAATGCCATTTGAGTCATTATGAATCCATATCACTAATGGCAAAGGCGTTCACTATGTCTTTAATTAAATATACATAGTTTTTACTCACTTGATTCTCTCTTGGGCGCTATTCTCTACTTCCTCACGAATATGACTTGATTCATCTTCAAGTCGTTGAATTGCAACTTCCAACTGTCGATCTCTTTCCTTTCGAAGCTTTTCTGCAATTTCAAGTTCGCGTTCTTGGAGTTCCACCTTAAGCTGATTGCGAACATACTCTTCAACATCAGATTTCTCCCGTTCCATTCGGTTTTGCAATTTCATTAAATCAGCCTTGAAAAAAAGAAAAAAGAAAATAGAAGCATTGTAACTTTGGAATTGTGTGAACATCTATTAATCTTCACTTGTAAACACCGGAAGTATTGATTTTCAAAAGACTGATCAGAATTTACAATTTTTATGTTGGTTTGATTCGCTTATTTGTTTTCATCATTAACCATTTCTAAGGCCGCGATTGAAACTCTAGTAAGTGCCTATTTATTTTAAACAAAACCATTAAACTTTGTATTGATTATACAACCCGATACACCAAGGTGATTTGGACCATGGGAATCAGGATTTTCATTATTTAAATGGTCAATTCGTCAATGGTCAATCATATTCCGATATCTGCATGAATGCGTATTTCTATTAATCTGTAATCTCCCAAATAAAGACTTAAAAGAACCCTGGAATTGTGTTCCAAAAGACGCTGATTGTTATCGTAATGCTTTATTTGATGCAGACAGCCGTGTATTTCACCTTTCAGTTTTGATGGATGCCACAACATTCCCGCTTCCTTGAAGGTTGACTGACTAGTCGTAGCGACAGTTTTTGTGTCCTTTCCATTTAAAATAACTTAAACAATTGTACAATAAATGTTATATTAGATTACATATAACTTTGAGCTTTATTTGTCCAAGTTTAAACTTAATGGCGTTTAATCTTCTATTATTAAAGTGCTTGAAAAATGAACTCACTTCGTGTTCAGTTCTCAGTTTATTTTTCATCTCCTCAAGCTCCTTCTGCTGTTTTTGGCCAGTTTCTCTGAGTTCAGTGTTGAGTCGAGTAATCTGTTCTAACAAATCTGAACGTTCACGGGCCATCTGACTCGTAACACGTTTTTTGTCTTCTTCTGCTTCTTTGAGTAGTTTATTTCGCAGATTTTCCCAAGTTTTACGATCCTCTTCCATCAAGGATTCATACCTACAAACAAAAAAGCATAATAGATGAAGTTTATAGATGGGAGTTACCTGCATTACATCATATCCATTTGGCCAAAAGCAAAAGATGTTATATTGATTACTTGCTAATTCATTCGAAGAAAGCGTGTTTTTAATAAGGGGGAGAATGATTACTCTGACGTGTACTGGAAGTGAAATTATACTTCATTCTGTTTCATCCGACGTCATTACAACGGGAGTTCTCAGCAAAAACGTGATCAACCGCCAATCATCATTATTGAGCCGTTTTCTGACTAATCATGTTTTACTTCATTAAATGATTGGCCCAGTCTTCTCCGGCCAATCACAATTAGGACAGACCCAATGCAGAATGCATTATTAGATTTATAATTCAAACAGTATATGCCTGAGTTTGCCGACTTGCCAATTTAGTCTTGTGCAATCAAATCACGCACTCTCTCTCCCTCTCAGTGGGGTCAGAGGAAGTGCAATATGCCCCGTACCAGCGTTCAAAATATGCTAAAGTACATTTTATTTTATGACGTTAGTAGAAAAATGAGAAGAATCCATCGATCTTAAAGAATAGAATCAAAACTTCTCATGTACACACATATACTGAAGTGCTTGAAATTTCTGGTAAATACAAAAATCCTAATTTTAGAAGTTTGGAGTGACCAGATTTGTTTAATTAGATTAAAATTTATGAAACTGTAGGGGATTAGCAAGACGACTTCACAGAAAAATCACCTGGTTTCATTTTAATACGATTTAAAATGCACCTTTTCTATTATTTATTATTGGCAGGCAGGATTTACACGGAGGGGTCTCCAACTAAGAAATATGAATCGTCTCTTCTTCTTCTCTTGGCAAATGGACTTTGAATGATGTTTCCATTAATATTCATTGCAAATTTCTTTTATTTCTACTCAATCGCTAAAAGTCAGAGCAAACGCTTTCACTTTTTGTTTATGGCCAAGGTCACGCCCACTTTCAAGCTGTCATCAAATTACAACCGGAGTCCGATTGGGTAGCATATCTACCATCAACTTAACATTTGACCTTTTTGGCAGCATTGTGAGCATTCAGGGCTCCCCAAACCCAGTCCATTAGCGGGAATTTTTCATCCCTTGTCCAGCATATTATGTTTCAATTTCTGGGGTGTGTGATTGACTTACCTCCACGTGGGGCATCCTGGGCAACGTATACCCATACGGCAAAGAAGTCTATTAACCGGCAGTTGACTTCTCACTTCAAACTACCGTCACCCCACTGTATTTCATATTCCACAACTTCACAGTACTCACCTCACCTTTTTTCTACCTTTGTGTTTGTCTCTTTTACATCTTTAAAATACTCTTCTGTTCCCCTCCTCCCCCTCTCAACTTCCCATTACTTTGATGTTCCTTTCCCCCTGTGAAGCCTGGAGTCAACTAAAGAACTAATGATAACTATCAAAACGCCTGCCATTTGATATAAATAAATGATAACTATCAAAACGCCTGCCATTTGAAATAAAAGGACTAATGATAGCTATCAAAACGCCTGCCATTTGAAAGAACTAATGATAACTATCAAAACGCCTGCCATTTGATATAAATAAATGAGTATTTCATAACTTATTTTGCATCTTGGTTTGAAATATTTCCAATATACTTGAGGAAGTTAGTAGTCGGTAAAGCTCCCATTAGAAACACACTGAATGAATAAGACCGGTAATTCATTGCACTAATTAAATTTTGTCTTGCTTGGTGGTTAGTTAACAAATTGTATTTCATTTACATTTTGCTCAAATTAAAGATGTTTGGAAACCCAATAATCATTGAGAAGGATGTACTGAGATATTTGAAGTAGATCTGCTCACTATTATTATTAGATTTCAATAAAAATCCTAAGAGATCACATCTACAACAACAATAACCCTGGAGTTGGATGCGTCATGCTATTGGTGAATTTAAGCTTTGAAATACGTACAGATGTTAGAAAGTTTATGGTATCTGCTTTTTTGCAGACGTTACCGATTGGATATGATTGACAGTAGTTACGCGAATAAGCACGTATTTGACAATTTAATTTGGAATCAGTGGTATGCGATAGACTTACCTCCACGTGGTGCACCCTGGGCAACGTATACTCATACGACAAAAAAGTCTATTAATCGGCAGTTGACTTCTGACTTCAAACTACCAAGACCCCACCGCATTTCATATTCGACTAAGTCCACAGTACTCACCTTTTTTCTATCTTTGTGTCTGTCTGTCTCGTTTACGTCTGTGAATCATTATTCTGTCTCCCCTCTCGACTTTTTGCCACTTTGGTGTTCCTCTTTCTGTAAAGCACGAAGTCAACTAAAGGGCTAATGATACCTATCATAACGCCTGCCATTTGAAATAAGTTAATAAATTAATAAATTTTGAATCAGCACCTAAATGTGGTTTCTAGTCGCCCTTCATACTAGATTATCTATGTTAGTGGCTTGGTTTATTCAAATCCTCTAAAGGTGTTCCAAAGTTTGG